CCCAGTTTGTAGATGATACCCCTCTAGCTAAAGAGCAAAAATTCTCTCGTCACTCACCACCATCCAAATCAGGAGGCCCCAAAACAATTCATCACAGCCCTACTGTTGCTTTGTATGGCAGTGAGCCACGACACGGTGCTAGCATGCATGTGAGCCTCGTGGCTCACGTCTGCTGCTTTTGTCTCCGAGTAGACACAGTGCAGCAGTGCACACCACGGCCGGAACAGTACCCTATGAAGCTGTAGGTGTATTGCAAGTGCCTTTGAGTGTTCCGGATGAGCTGCATAAAGTACTTTGATCATGCGCTGATTCCACAGGGAATGAGCCAAAAGCTCAAGAAAACAAGATCCCACGCATATGCTGTCTCAATATTATCGGTGCACTTTGCTACACGGTTAACTTTTGACGAACTAACCTTTGCCAATCCGGCTTAATTTTCACCATGTAGGTAGGTAGGTGTCGGGGTGTACCTCTATCTATATAAGCGTTAGCATAATACTCGGTAGAAAACAAACACGTTAGTAGCACCACTACCAGCAAACCCCGAGAGGAGGCAGAGGCAGCTAATGGGCTCCATGGCCGCGGAAATGACTGCCGTCGAGGAGGAGGCGTGCATCTACGCCATGCAGCTGTCTTCCACGGCTGTGCTGCCGCTCACGCTCAAGAACGCCATCGAGCTGGGCATGCTCGAGATCCTGGTGGGCGCCGGCGGCAAGATGCTGTCGCCGTCTGAGGTTGCGGCGCAGCTGCCGTCGCCGACGACCAACCCGGACGCGCCGGCCATGGTCGACCGCATGCTCCACCTGCTGGCATCCTACAAGGTGGTGTCGTGCGAGGTGGAGGAAGGCACGCATGCCCGGCGGTACGGCCCCACGGCCGTGTGCAAATGGTTCACGCCCAACCAGGACGGCATCTCCATGGCCCCGCTGCTGCTTCTCACCAATGACAAGGTCCCTATGGAGAGCTTGTAAGTATATACTCCCTTCATTTCTATTTACTTCGCATATTACTTCTAAACTGTTATTAATTTTATAAAAACAAATTGACATTCACAATATCAAGTCAATACCATTAGAATCACTGTTCAATATATTTAATACCATATATATTATTATTGTAAAAGTTTAGATTGTTCTCGATTAACTTGATCAAACTTCAAAAAGTTTAACTTAGGTTAAAACTAATATGCAGAGTAAATAAAAACATAGGGAGTAATAGTACTCCTTCCCTCCTAAAATATAAGATGTTTTTTAGGATAACTAGCCTTAAAAAGGGCTCATATTTTGGCACGAAGCTTGAATTTGTTAAACGATAATTAATTTGCAGGTACCATTTGAAGGACGCGGTCCTTGATGGTGGCCTCCCATTCCACAAGGCACATGGGATGACAATGTATGAGTACACCAAAACGGACGCGCGCCTGAACCGCGTCTTCAACGAGGCCATGAAGAGCTACACCACCATCGTCACCGGTAAGCTCGTCGAGCTCTACACAGGCTTCGAGGATGTGGCCACCCTCGTGGATGTGGGCGGCGGCATCGGCGCCACCATTCAGGCAATCACCTCCAAGTACCCGCACATCAAGGGGATCAACTTCGACCTGGCCCACGTCATCGCGGAGGCGCCGCATTCACCCGGCGTGGAGCACGTCGCCGGCGACATGTTCAAGAACGTGCCCAGCGGCGATGCCATCGTCCTCAAGTGGATCCTCCACAACTGGACCGACGAGCACTGCACGACCCTGCTAAGGAACTGCTACGACGCGCTGCCTGCGCACGGCAAGGTTGTCGTCGTCGAAGGCATCCTGCCGGTCAAACCAGAGGCGACGTCCAGGGGGCAGCAGGCGTCCCTCAGCGACATGATCATGCTCACGCACACGGCGGGCGGCAAGGAGAGGAACCAAAGGGAGTTCGAGGAGCTTGCAAAGGCCGCGGGGTTCACCGGTGTTAAGACCGCCTACATCTACAGCAACACCTGGGTCATTGAATTCACGAAATAGCTAGATCCGTCGTCTCATATCTCTTCTCGATTGTTGTTGCTCTCCAAATCTGCATGATCCTGAATGGCGTATAATAAACGGATAATAAACGGATTTGCTAAATTTCAGTCCACTATAATTTAGTTAAGTCTCAGTTGACTTCATAGCTCGATTCCGATGTTTTAAATACCAGGCTATGAAAAATAGCGGCGGGCCTTCAAACCAGCTATAGCTGGCTATAGCAGGCAATAGCGGACTATTTATGAAGACAACCATTTAGCAGTACCCTGTTAAAAAGGCTATAGCGGGCCATAGCGAAGCTATAGCCGGCTACTTAAAACTATGATTCCGATGCACTAAGATGTGTCCAAGGCTATTAAAATTGCGTTTCTGTCTTCTTTCCAATACATACGAGTGACCCTGCGGCTTTTATGTAGCGTTGACAACTGAGCTTTGTTCACGGGCCGTTCATGTGTCTTAGCCAGCATTGTTTTTCCTCTCTTTTTTATCTGATTTTCTGTTTTGCTGGAGTGCACCCTTTTCTAGGGAGCTCCTATGCCACCATTTTTTTTTCTGGTAAGCAAATCCATGCCTCCACAAGAAGTAAATCTATGCATCTCACGAAAGGGAAAAAATATGTTCTTTTCTAGAGGCGACGACCAGGGGGTAGCAGGCATCCCTCAGCGACATGATCATGCTCATACACATGACACGCGGCAAGGAGAGGAACCAGAGGGAGTTCGAGCAGCTTGCCAAGGCCGCTGGGTTCACCGGTGTCAAGATCGCCTACATCTACCACATCACCTGGGTCATTGAATTTACTAAATAGCTAGATCCATCATC